TTGGCTTGTTTTACAACGTCGTTGCCAAGCGACGAAAACCCAACCCCGATGGCAAACACCGAGGGGGGTGTGGTATCTTACATCATGTCACCTACGGTATTGCACAAGTAGAAACAATGGCTACTACGAATTATCTTCCTCAGAGAGAATCATTCAATCCAAGTATGAAACCGTTGAGGCCGCGGGTGCTGAGGACCTCGCCTGATGGAGGCGGGAAATTTCCCAGAAAATGATCGCGGCTCTCCCTTTCGTGGTGACTCACATCTCCGCTACGCTCTTCTCGGTGAAGCACTCGATCGACGGAAAGCGGACCCCCATCCACCGGTACAAGTCCAACACATTGTGCTTCGAGCACAGGGTCTGGAACTCGGTCATCTGGTGGAGAAAAAAATGGCATCAAATGTGTCACGGCGGGGGGCAGGTTAACCAGTGTGGTGTCTCCGTTGGTGATTTGAGTGGACGCGCTAGTCGAATGAAAGCGAACGACACATGCACACCCATCGAAGGGGACATGACATGACATGACGTAAGACATCATACCCTGGAACCATCCCACTGCTGTAATCTAGCTCGACTACTCCACGACCAAGGGGATGTAAAAATCAAACGATCGGTGTTCAGAACGCTACCGGCGCGGCGGTTCAAACGTGGCCATATTCTGCACCGTTACCACTCTTCCTGCCGTGGAGTAATCGACCTTCGAAATCGATCCAAAGGAATGTAATATCTAATATCTCCTACGGTATGTAGTCTGCATGAATCCTTCGACCGTCGGGGGGCAATTGCGTTGCCGATGTCCGTGGCTTGAACGCGATTCTGACCATGGCAACAAAATCGGATGCACAAGAAGAACAAGTGTATGTCCTGCACACCCTGTCGACGATTGGCAACTCATGCATCGGAAACGCACAGCATTGCCCGAATAATCAAATCGCTTTTTGGTCGCACTAAAAGACATCAGTATCGGCTGAGTGCTGCTTTGGGTATGGAGCGAACGCAAAGGCCTCACGCACGACTGATTGCATCAGTATCCGCTGAGTCTTGCAATTGGAAACGGCGCGAGTCTTGCATTGGTTATGGAGAGAGCTTAGCTCGAAGAATAAACGTACCGACTTCGGCAGAGTCCCCTTAGGAGGGAGTTGCATGTTGATAAACACCGGAAGGCCTGCTGCGTGAGCGGTCGCGAAGAGGAAGATAGCTCGCACCAGAAGGGCATTCCTGTCAAAACGGAACGAAAAGAGCGACAACAATTCAGTGCGTTGTAGGATTAAATAGACTCGAGGCAAGTCCAGTGTCCAGCCGGGTTTTCGTCCACTCACTGCAAAGTCTCCCTTTCGACTGCTGTGGTGCTATCTCGAACGGATAGTCTTAATGTGTTTTAACGTAGATTATGTATTTTCAGGTGTGTCTCGAAAAGAGCGATCATCCGTGTCCGAGGGCAAGAAAAACAGATTTCCAGATTTAGCGGCGGTGTGTGAGGAAGGGAAGTCATGAGAAAGGCACCATGGGCGCACACAAGCAGCTTCCCTTGCACGGCAGTATTCATCAATTGTCGAAAAGTTCGCCTATTGTGGTTCCTGTTGCCGTCACCCCTCTAATAAGCGCGACCATTCTGCCAAATAACAACCCTTTTTCGTGTTGGACAACAGGATTCGTTTGGACAAGATCGTTCGTCAGACATCTCGTTGTCGACGCAACACGCAACCTACGTTTGGGCTTCGCTTGCCTGCCGTTGATGGGGGCCATGGAGATGGCGTAGCGCTCCTTGAGGGTCAGGTTTTCGACGGGGTGCAAGGCGTTCGCCAGCGCCTGGTGCTGGTCGTGCGTTCCCAAGAAGTACCTGGGGCAAAGCGACGGTTCATGCTCACGATGTTGTCTCAGATCGAGTACCACTTTTGCCGTAGATCGAGTACCACTTTTGTCGTAGATCAAGAACCAGTGTTGTCTCAGATAGAGTCCCAGTGTTGTCTCAGATAGAGTGCCAGTGTTGTCTCAATGTACCAGGGCGCCATAAGATACTATCCCCGACAAAAAAAAACATTCCCAGTGATGATCTTTAATAAGCCACAATTGTTGTGTCACCGGTGTGTGCTTCGTGCCACCCGTATGGCTCGTTCACGATCGACAGACACTCTTCCTCTTGGAAATTGACAAGTTAAAACGACGAAAAAGAAATCCTGAGAACAAACAACTGCCATCGCAGTCTCACCCAAATCTCTACGGTCGGATTTGATGTGTAATCGGATGCTATTGCCTGCTGCAGGACTTGAAGAAAGTGATAGTTTATCATCAAACCAACTGCACAGAAGAAATAGTAAAATACTATTCCAATGAGAGACGGGATAACCACACTGCATGATTATTCACATTTTATTTTCCATGTTGTTAAGTGCTGATATTTCAGGCTACTACGCATACTGTAGCTCCAAATCATATTTTAAAAAAAATACAATCATTTTGTGGCAATGAACCCTACGCTCTACGCTCTACCAGTCTCATTTCACAAGTCGTGGCTGTAAAGTTCATGCTTTCTGCTCGTTTGTTCGTGTTTCTTTTTTTGTCAAGATTGTGGAATATTCTGTGTCGTTTTCGTGTCCGTGCCCACCTGTCCCCCACTTTGGCCTTGTCAGCGAAGGCTGCAAATGTCTCGGCTAGTCGCCGGCGCTCCTTGCCCTCCGGCTTAGCCGCTTCCATCTCGTCAAGACTGGAGTTTCAACCATTGAAAGCGTTTCAAGCGTTTCGAGCGTTTCAAGCATGTCAAGAGTCTCGATTCAAGCGATTCAATACACCGCATTCAAGAGGACGATGTTAGGGAGGTTGGTACGAAATATCTATCCGTTCCTGTCCGTAGTTGGTGTCATGCTCGTGGTTGTTCGCGATGGTTGTGCGGTGCTCGTGTCAGGTGACCACCTAGTGACAGCACTAATGGCGGCATCAAAGTCACACTGTGGTTCGCTTCTTCACGTTAGGTTGCGGCAAGGAAAACGGGCCAATGTTGCCGGTTTCAGGTTATTAGCAGCGGTGGGCATCGTCTCGGCAAGGGGGAGACAACAATGGTAACTTACCGTAGGTCGCGTAAGATACCACACCCTCCATCCACCAATGTCCGCCGCCCCCGGTGTTTGCCATTGGAGTTGGGTTTTCGTCGCTTGGCAACGACGTTGTAAAACAAGCCAATTCACTTTGTGAACTCGGCAACCAGGTTACCTTTTGTTTTTTCACCGCTGCTTTTTTTCTGGCGGTAACCATAATGGTGGTCGAGTACATCATGTTGTGCGGGGTCGAGAACCCTCGCTCCACGCAAGGGGGATGATCGCACCACGTTGTGTTGAAATGGTCAAGCACCCTCGAGGCAGTTACACAGTGCTGACAACTGTCTCAGGAAGTGAAAGCACCAGAAAATATATTAAGTCATACGCAGCTGTCATCCGTACGCAAGGAAGTAAGCACAAGATGCCGAACACCCTTAGCAGGATGCAGCGCACCCTTCATGCGACTCGCCGAATATCTCACGGCGCTTCGCGCTTGATGATGTGAGAGGCTGGTCCGGTGAGAACCCGGCGTGCTCCGTTCCGGCTTTGTAGGGATGCGAGGCCAATGGTCTAACGACTACGGCATGCACGACTATGAGTACATGTACCCCCCCCCATCCACCAATGTTCAAAGCTGGGGTACTCTGCAAACGCAGTGACAGCGCCGAAAATGGCGGAAGGCGTTCGTACTGTCTCGCGGAGAGCTCTTCAACTTTGACTTCCTTCCCCGTCGTCCGTCAACTTTGACTTCCCCATCGCCGTGGAGCAATCCAATCGAGCTTTGATATCGGTCCAGGGACTGCGGTACCCTATGCATCCTACGGTACTCAAGACGAGCGAACGCGTGAAGCAACAAACAACAGCAATAACAACCAACAAGAACAACAACAACAGACAGAGTATGGCAGCCAGTCCCAACCAGTCCGAGCAGGATGGAAAACACGCAACATGCCCACACCACACAACATCTCCCCCACCCGCACCGCAGACTAGCATCCCGTCCACAACACAGCTTTGTACAAGCTCCTTCTTTTTGTTTTGGTTTCGCTAGCAAGAAACGCAAACTCAGCTTGGCAGCACTGTGGACAGCCTGCTCATGTTCTGTAGTTTTGCATGTTGGAGAAAGCGTCTTTAAATAATGAACAGAATTTGTCTTAGTTCGAGTTCAAATTGTCAAGTTTGAAAATCTGTGAAATTCTGCAAGACAGCAGAGACAGGCAGAACGACAGAAGAAAAGGTAAGTTTCGTTCTACAGAGTGACATTTTTTTTTTCTTTTCTTTTTCCTCACCAGTTCGAAAACTCCTGCATGTGCTGCACGCTGGGAAAAATGGCGGCCTTCGGTATCGGCTCAAGCGGCGTGTTCATTATCTGGAGACATTGGGAAAAAACAACAAGCACAAAACACGGAACATGTCACTATGTTTGCAAGAGCAAACAACAAAACGAGAGCGGTTTTCAAAACTACTTCCAACGACAAGATCATGCTGAAAAACAAAAACAGGACAAAGAATGTAACGAGTATCCCGGAACAAACAACAAATCTTCATCTTTCTGGGCTACTGTAACAATCTTTCTAATATGATCAACGTTGTATTTTTTTTTGTATGTATATAGCTCAACACATTTAGTTTACGAACGAAGATCCAGAAAACATCGAACGGCTGTCCTACGTCGAAGAAATGCAGTCGCGGCTCCCACCAAGACAAAAGTTTCCGCTTCCGCAACCCAGAGACACGGGATACTACCAGCTGTGCTATGCGCGTTGGCATAACGCGAAAGACACCACGCGAGAAATGCGGGCCCTCTCTCTCTCTCTCTCTCTCTCTCTCTCTCTCTCTCTCTCTCTCT